TCCAACTGACCTTTCAGCTCAACCAATTCAGCAGGGGCCATCCTATAGCAACCAACTCAGCAGGAGCCATCCTATAGGGAGCTACCGGCACTGGCCCCGGACTTGGAACCAAGTCAATGCTAAACTCCATCTCCCTAACAGGAGGCAATCCAGGCACCTCATCAGGGAACACCTCAGCAAAATCTCTCACCACATCAATATCAGCTATAACTTTCTCAGTCTCCACACTCATGGCAGCAAGTAGAAGACAGCACTCTGCTCCATCTCTCAACAATGATTCAGCTTGGCCAGCTGAAATCAACAGCTCCTCCTCCATCTGAGGAAAAATCAACCTCTTATTGGCACAATCTATAAGGATGTGATTGGCAAACAACCAATCCATCCCTAAGATTATGTCAATATCCACCAAAGGTAAACAGATCAAGTTCACCTTGTACCTCTTCTCATTCACAACAATCGGACAACCAACACACAACTCAAAAGCAACTACCGAAGCAGAAGCGGGCGTTGACACTAGTAGTCTCAACCCCAAATCACACACAGGCACACCCAGCATAGCAACACAAGCATAAGATATAAAGGAATGTGAAGCACCAGAGTCGAAAAGAATCATCACATCCTTACCAGCAGCTCTTCCCTTCCCCTTCACCAGATCTGAGGAAGTAGAATCTTCAGCCCCAGTCAAAGCGAATACTCTACCAGCCGTAGTGGGTTTGTCACCCCTCTGAGCATCACCTCTCTAGGCACCACCTCACTGAGCATCACTTCTCTCGGGTCTGTTTCTAGCAGGACAGTTGGTCGACTCGTGACCCATCTGATGGCACTTGAAGCACCAGCTCTCCGTGAGCAGACAATCCCTGACAAAATGAGGCCCAACACACCTGTAACATCTGAGAGTGGCACCTCCACCCTGTCTCCCTCCCCTAGCAGCATCAACAGGTTGCCTAATGACAGGACCCCCTGGCTGTGGTTGGGGCCTATCATATGGCTTCCTCTGATTTCCTCTTCTCTTAGACTCAGCTGGTCCCTCACCTGGCTTCACCACACGGTTGCCACCTTCCCACCACCCAACAACCTTCGCCTTCTCAACTAAGGCCGGAAACTCAGTGATGGTCATAGGCACCACCACCCTCTTCAGCTCCTGTTTCAACCCCTCAGCAAATTTCCTGCATTTCCAGGCCTCATATATAGTTTGCGAATAAAAATGAGCCAGGTGCTCGAATCTCATCGCATACTCAGATATTGTCATCCCTCCCTGGGGCAACCGCATAAACTCAGCCTCCTTAGCGTGTCTCACGCTCTCCGGGAAGTACTTCTCCAAGAACACCCTCCTGAAGCACTCCCAGTCAACAATCACTCCTCTAGTAGTCAGCATGTTATGGGTACCCCTCCACCAATGCTCAGCCTCCCCAACCAGCATGTACACAGCATATGTCAGCCTCCTCTCCTGAAAACATCCCAACACTGTAAAGATTTTCTCCAGCTCACAAATCTAGTGGTCAGCTACCTTTGGATCTGCATCTCCCTTGAACTGTGGAGGATGGCATTTCCGAAACTCAGCCAGATCCCGGCTCTCCTGTGACCCCACGGGCCTTGCTGCACCAGTTGCAGCTCTATCAGCCTCCATCCTAGAAAAATAAGCATTTTGTTGGTGCATAGCCATAGCCATCATCTCCATGGCACGAACTATTTGCTTGTTGGTTCTAGTCATTGTCTACAAAAGTAATTAATAGCATCTTCAACACACAATAATTAAACCATATGACAATCAACAGCACAACAAAACAACACAGCAATCAACACAGCAAAACAACACAGCAAGACAGCACAACACAGAGCTCAGCACAGCAAAAGCCTAAAGGAACCACCCCCAAAGAGTGTCCACTAGGCTTGAACGGCTCTGATACCACTAAAGTGTAACGATCCGACTGGTCACTACACACACAGCATAGCACACCAGAACACCACACAGAAAGGAATAAGTGTATACATATAGTGTCTAGAATATATATATATATATATATATATATATATATATATACAAAACTGTTCATTCATTTTAAAAGAAATTATCCACCTTTTTTTTAACAAAGTCAAGATATATATATATATATATATATATATATACAAGATCCAAGTCTGAATAGAGTTAAAGTGTACAAAATACATCCATCACTACTATACCAAGTAGCTAAAACAACAAAACACCCAAGAGGATCAGCTCTATCTACCAGCTGCAGACTTATCACCAGCCACCAACCTATCCCTGCTCTGCTCCCATACAACGTATGATCATCGCAATCCAAACACATGGAAACAACAAAGGGTAAGCTAGTGAAAAGAAATCACATACATATATAACAATATGAATGGTAAACAACTACAGCTATCAGCACATCAACTAGCTTATACTACACCACAGCATTCTATCACAACATTCAGCAATATTAGCACCGCAAAGCGGCAATATCAGCACTGCATAGCAACAATAACAGCACCACATAGTGGCAATAACAGCACCGCATAGCGGTAATAACAGCACCGCATAGCGGCAATAACAGCACCGTATAGCAGCAATAACAACACCGCAAAGTGGAAATAACAGTATACAACTCAGCATTAAACAACACAACAAGATCAACATACAACATAGCCAAAACACAGCTCACAGCACAGCTTAAACATCCTAATTCATCAATACATCTCACAGCACAACATATTCATCAATTACAACTCAGCTCAGCATATAACAACATTTATCAGCAAGTTTCAGCATAATTCAACAACTATTAGCATAAAATTCAACTTCATCATACGCGCCCGGCGCACTCATTGTCGTGCCCAGCGTGGCACAACCAGAGAGCACCAGGGGCCCGAGCGCCCAGTGCAAGAGTGCCCGCGCCTGGTGTGACCCAGCCAGACAACTCAAGGCTCTCACGCGCCTGGCGCAATCCAAATTGCACCCAGCGCATGCCCAGGCAGAGACTCTAAGGAGTCTCACGTGCCCGACGTGCCCAAACTTGCGCCTAGCACAGGGAAGGCAGAGACCTCTCAAGGTCTCGCGCCCAGCGCAATTCAAATTGCTCCCAGTGCCCCCATGGCAGAGACTCCTAAGGAGTCCCCACGCCCATCGCGACGATGATCGCGCCCGGCGTAGCACCAGAGTTCACAAAACATGTCACAACTGATATCGCACCCGGCGCGGTCCAAGTCACGCCCGACGTGGACCATCCAGAGGCTCACATTCTCAAGCTCGCCCGGCGCACACACCTTTGCGCCCGGCGGGCTTGCCTAAATGGAGCCCCCTGGTGGTCACGCGCTCGGCGTGAAGAATGGCGCCTGGCGGGATACCCAGTAGCAACTCACCAAGTTCGAAAATCTTGCCCAAAACCTGCAAACTTCACATTTCCCGCACATGCAAATCAGCCAAAAGCTCACATTTTCATCCAAGAGTTCAAAAATATAATCTTTTCACACATGCAATCATCAAACAAGAAAAACCCAAATTTTCCTCCAAAATCGCGAAACCATATTTTCACCAAATTAGCCATCAATCTCAGCCAAAATCATTCAACATCAAACCATCCATGAGTTGCTAAACTCATTTCCATATAGCCATCAAGAAAACTAGCTTCCCTTACCTCGGTGCGAAAGTCCGAGCTTCGGGAGGAAGAAACGAAGAAGAAGATTGAAGGAGAGCTTGAACGAACACTAAAGGAGAAGAAAGAACTTCGAACACCCAACTAGCAAAACCCAATTCACTCCGCACTACCACCTTGTGTCAGCCAAGAAGAAAGGTCCAAAGCAAAAGAGTGAGTAAAGAGAAATTAGAGTTAGAGTGTGAGGGTGAAGTGGGAAAAGAAAAGGAAGGGCCTCACATCATGTATTAAATTCACAAAATATTCTTTTTTTTAATATTTATCTTCATTAAAAAAAATAAAATATATATATATATATATATATATTTAATGATATAATTGCGAAAATATGATATAAGAAAATATATAATTATAATTATATAAATCGAGCGTTACAAGAGTCCTTCTCTCTAAGTTTCTTTAAGAATGAACTTTTGAAGTTCTCTTCTCAAAGAAACCTTATATACTATTCTCCCTAGAGTCAACTAAA